ATTTGAGTGACGATGAGTAAGGAGTATTTCCATGTTCCCAATTGTTTGATATCAAATATGAAGATAATACGGAGATTAAGCAGGAATATGTCGACAATGAATATGATGAGCTAAACATCGAAAATATTGGCCTGCTAAACGTCGACGATGAGGTCATTATTTTAACGGACAGCGAAGATGAGAATAATCCTTGGTTGGAACGATTATCTAGAAGTCAGTTACTTAACGAGGATATAAAACCTGCCACACATTTGCACCAATATATTTGTAATTTGAATAACAATTGATTTTTATTCGGAGTTCAAATGGCATTTTTGTCAATGGAGAAAAAAAACCAAGTAAGCAGATAATCAATCTGCGTGAGAACGATCTTGTTGGAATTGGTTGCCCAGAAACAGATATTGAGTCAAATGGTGACATGTTTATAGTTTGCATTATTCAGGTAGGTTGTTTTCAAAGCAGTATGTAATTGCTTGTTGTATGAAATTTAATATTTGTTAAATTTTTATCAAATTTTTTTTTAGTTACCTATTTGTTGAAGAAGAAGAAGAAGAACATAGCATCGAGGACAATTAATTCAAATAACAATACACCACAAGAAGGGGCTTCTGCCCGTCCCGTGAATTGTTCCTCTAGAAAAAGATACAAATATAATTCGAATTATAATAAGATGATGCCAAACAAAAAAGCACACGTTACATATAATGATGAACGTAACGCTAATGCTAGTTCTTCAAAAGGTAAATTCCTATTTTTCAAACAGTAAATAAATAAAAAAGAAATATATTTGAAATATTCTGTAATAAATATATTATGTCCTAATAAATCTTTCAATTAATTAAATTTTTCTTGTAGGAATTAATTGTAATTCATCTCGTAATAATCAGACTCCGCATAGTAGCAGAAGCATTAATAATTCAGAAAACGAGTCCAATATTATAGATATAAGCAGACGATGACAGTATAATAATTCATACATTATTAATGGAAGGATTCATACATCATTAAAGGAAGTAAAGGAGGACTTGGATCGTAATCTGAAACCTAGTTCTTCAAAAGGTAAATTCCTATTTTTCAAACAGTACATAAATGAAAAAGAAATATATTTGAAATATTCTGTAATAAATATATTACGTCCTAATAAATCTTTCAATTAATTAAATTTTTCTTGTAGGAATTAATTGTAATTCATCTCGTAATAATCAGACTCCGCCTAGTAGCAGAAGTATTAATAATTTAGAAAACGAGTCCGATATTATGGATATAAGTGCAGACGATGACAGTATAATAATTCATACATCGTTAATGGAAGGATTCATACATCATTAAAGGAAGTAAAGGAGGACTTGGATCGTAATCTGAAACCGGTAAAATGTTTAAACGGCGGTAATAATTCAGATTTTGATGAAAAAATGATCACTTTCGGCGGTCAACTTTTTCTCTTCCGCAACAATCTCTTTCAATTTCATCTTTCTCTGCTCGATTATTTTCTTTTTTTCATCCTTAGAAATTGATGGTCCAGATTTTGTATCACTCGCTGAGAAACTGTCAGCCGCCGATTTAGATTTCTCTTTGCGGTCTCTTTCCTTGGTATAAAAATTATCGTTGAGTTTTTCTTTTAATTTTGACATCTTTTCGCTTGTTGATTTTGATGATGAATCCTCACGTACTTTTGTTGCTCTATCTTTACTGTAATCAGATCTTCTTCTACTAAGTAAACTTAATGGTTCTATTACCGGAATCAGTCTTCTGGTTGACTCTGCAATTAATTTTTGTTTTATACTTTCGAATGCTTGCTTATCTTGTATTTTGTTTCGCATCTGTTTTTTGTTTGTTTTTGTCATCAATAATCTGTTTGTCTTCATCAATACCTCTCGTACTAGAATCGTTAAAAGAACCTGCCTCGTCTACATCCATTTCATCCACTTTTTTGGTCGATGTATTAGCAACTACGATGTATTAGGAACTAGCATTAGCGTTACGTTTATCATTATATGTAACGTGTGCTTTTTTATTTGGCATCATCTTATTATAATTCGAATTATATTTGTATCTTTTTTTAGAGGAACAATTCACGGGACGGGCAGAAGCCCCTTCTTGTGGTGTATTGTTATTTGAATTAATTGTCCTCGATGCTATGTTCTTCT